GGAATGTACATCTATTCTAAAGGCCTATAATTATTAGGAACATGTGATATATTTTATTTGTCCCGATAAAATAAAATATAATTAAAACAGTCCGAGAAATACAACTTTCGGGGCCGATTACACACACCGGAACATAATGGGATGACCTCCTACATGAGTGGGGGCCACCCCACGTTTTTATGTGCTCTATTTGATAGAGTGAGAGCTGGAAGGGGAAAGAGGGGATGTGTGTGTGAGGACCTAAAGAGGAGGAAGCCTCCTAAGGACAAGAAATACACCCCATATCCTCTCAATGCATGTGCATTGGTCTTTAATTGAAAATCTGATGCCATCATCTATCCCTTTGCATTCATTCGGACCTCACAAGGATAGAATAAGCTCCAGGAAGTCTCTCACAAAGGTTGGAGCTTGAGACAAGCAAGAAGAAAAGAAATCCAAAGAGAAAAAGCTAGGCATTGAGGTGAGAACACAAATAGTTCTTTTAACTAGTTTATTCTTGTATGATTTTTAGAAATTATATGTTGGATTAAATATGATGTTCTACACATTTAAAAAGTGTAGAATATTGATATAAAGTGGTGTTAATTAACTTATAAGAGTTGGTGAATCGATAGGAGTCGAAATCACCGGAAACCGCCACTTAATAGGAGCTGCCCGAAATTGCAGATTGACGAACACCGGGCGGCTTTCTTGAAAGCCGGACGGCTTTTGCCCAGAAGTCCACTTTTTCGTTTTCAATCAGCCTAGAATGGGGATTGATCGAAGGGCTTATCAAAGGCAACTATTGTAGCACATCACAAGGTGAGGATGGCTGACTATGTTGCTCATAGTTAGTGAGTTAATTTCATGAGATTACTTAAGGTAATTAAATGTGTTTTTATGGATTATTAATTATTAATAATGCCTAAAAATGAGAAGATTATTGTCTATGCGAAAAGGAGGATGATATACAAATTTAAGAATAAATTATGTATGATCATGTGTTATGAGTATGTTGACTTGATCCTAGGTATAGGATTGGCCTACGGGCGTGTTCGGTAGTTCTTGAGGATAGCCGGTTGAGTTATGGAAATAAGTAAGGACCATGGCCCTCTCCGACTCTAGAGAGCGGGGTTGGATAGCATGGACTTGCATTGTGATCACGGGTTAGGGTGGAATCCGAATCGGAGACCTAACTAGGCTCCGGTAGCGGTAACACATAAGATAGGACCCCGAAGGGCCTTACCTTCCTACGGGATGATGGGTATGAGTCCAGGGGCGGGATGTTGAAATCCGAACCGAGAGCCTCATGAGGTCTCCGACATCGGTAGCAAATCCCGTAGAAGTAATAAGACCCACGGGTTGGGTTGTACGAATGATAAATACAAAAGAATATATGAGAAGGGCCGTGTGCCGACAAATAAATGAATTTACTTATTATAGAGATAATAAGTGAGAAATATAAATTATTATTTATATTATGATATCACCCTATTTTGAGGGTCTTAGAAATTAAAGCGTTGATTATACTCGGTATAGTTGTCATTGTACTTGTCAAATGCTTCCAAGTACTGACCTCCCCTTCACGGGGGAGGCCACCTCACAGTTTCAGGTAGAACTTGAAGGTTGCTACCACCGCCCGTTGCTTCGGGGAGATCAAAGGAAGAAGACTTGGTTCGTGCTTCTTCCGTTTCTGTTTTGAAATCAATTTAAGTAATGCTCATGGATATTATTTATGAATAATTGTTTTGGGGGCTTGTATGCCTGATTATGCCAAGTGTGGCTTGAACACTTGTATTAAATGATTCCGCTGCTTTAAATGAATATTTTACATTATGTGTGTTTATGGATGTACTATGTGTGAATGGTATTCAAGACGCCTTGTATAGTATGGACGAGTTGGACTACGGTTGACTATTCGTACTGTACGGCGGGTTGTTGACGTGTCCGGGTAGGTCCGGGGCGTGACAGATAAGCGTTTTATTAACGTGTTTTATACGATCGTTTATAAACGCTTTTATACTTAAAACAATTAAATCTTCACACATATGCCTCGTTTTGCTAGAAGTACTTTAAATCGGTGATTGGATCACATACAAGGATGGTAGAATACACACGAAGGAACCGACGGAAAAAGGTCAATCAAACGCATCCCGAAGAACAAAAGAAACGAAGAAAAATGCACAAAAAGGGTGAGAGCCGTCCGGCTTTCACCAATGACGGCCGGTCTTCACCAGCCAGCCACTCAGTTGCCGTCCAAAGATGAAGAAAAGGACCCGGAACAAAATTCGACGAAAGCCGCCCGGCTTTCGTGAAAGGCGCCCGGCCTTGGGCGTAGTAGAATTAAATCATTGATTTTAGCCAAAAGCCGCCCGACTTTTTCCAGAAGCCACCCGGATTTCGGCCTCTGGAGCGGAGATGATTATTTTAAACACGCGAAAGCCACCCGGTTTTCGCGATTGTCGCCCGCCTTTCGTCTGGAACTAATTAAAACAAGCAACGGTCATCACAATCATTCGGGAGAAACTCCAAACCTCATTAAGGAACTTGCTTCCTTGTCCAAAAATGGCCGTTGAGGACTCATTATTTAAGAGAATTGAAACCCTTTCAACAAGATATTCCATATTCTACTCACTACACTTCTACTATGGTATCTCAAGAGCAACACCTTGGTCTTGGGAGAAGTTCTTCAATAGGGGAAAACATTATCCACCATAGCTTTGGAGTTGTGGTATCAATTTCTTATGTATTTCATTGTATTTTATCATTTCAATATCTGTAATTTCATTATGAATTGTTCTAGCTAATTTTCCATAGCCAAGGTTAGGGATGAAACTTTACGCACTCTAGGTGTTTGATGTATGTTCTCAATCAAATAAATTATTATGATCTTTCCTTTATATTTTAATGTGTATGACTACGGTGTACAACGTATGATTATATCGTTGGGTTTATTTGAGCAATTAACGTTGAGTTATAAACCGTGCACTTAAAGGTTTAGACATATTCTAATTGTGGATAGAAATATACCTCAATTGAATATGGTGGATTTTATAATGTCTTAATCCTCAATGGGATTAATTTTAGATGAATGTGAACCGTGACGGGATTCACACGTAGAATTAATCACAATCTCGCTGCCGTAACAGGAGTTAGAATACTTTAGTGACATTCCACTCATAAGAATTGGTGAAAAGAACATATATTCATTACTAGGAGTCGTTTAGGAGTAATCCCGAACCCTTGGTTGCTTTTATTATCACTTGAAAACCAAAAATCTATACTCTTTTACTAAGTCGTTTACAAATTCTATTCTCAACTTTTGAATCATATAAACAACGTTTCTTCGTGTTCGACCCGGTATTTTTACCGGATTTTATTACTACATTGGCACTTGTACACTTGCAAGTTTAAGCCTATCACATGTTTTCTCATAACTAAATCATTATGGCATGCTTTCATATCTTCGTAATTGTATATTCATATGTGGAAGCTTTATTCCCAAGTCTTGAATAAGGTATTATTATTCATGACTTGTGTAGATCATAATTATGGCATGCTTTCTGATCTAAATGTACTCTGACTGTGTTGGTGGAAGTTCTTTTTCAAGTTTACATTCTGGTGCATCTATGGTGTTTGATAATGCCGAGAACAGGCCAGTGTCAAGATTTAAAGTTGAGCTAAAAAAGAAGCTGGAGAGTGGCCAGTTAGGAATAAAAAAAACTGAACTTGATATGTATCTTGAAGAGTCAATAATTGAGGAAGATAAGGACTTTGATATATTGAGGTGGTGGATGTTAAATAGTGAAAGGTTTCCTATTCTTTCTAAAATGGCTAGAGATGTACTTGGTATTCCTATTTCCATAGTTGTTTCTAAATCCACATTCAGTACCAGTGGTAGGGTTTTGGAGCGTTTTAGGAGTTCATTAAGTGCAAAAATTGTGGAAGTCCTTATTTGTGCACAAGATTGGTTGAGAATGGCTAACCAACCTATCTCAGTTGAATAAAACATTGATGATGTTGAGAGGCTGGAAAAGGTATAAATGTTGTGTATTGTCAATTTTGTTTAATTCTTTTCTAATTTATTGGTTAAACTTCTAAATTCTAACAATGGTCTTTTTTTATAGAATCAACAGATGGAAATGTGGGCACTACTACTGGATCTTCTGTTGTCCCATTAAGTGTACATTTTCTGTTTGAATTATTACATTTTACGTTGATTATATAATACATGTCAAGCTAATATATGATGTGCTTGTTGACTGTTTTTTCCATTTGATTGAGTATGGTTATGTGGTTATGGAACGCATGCACATTCTGGCATACTGGTATGCTGCCGGTTGCCTCTGGCCCCTTGTCCCTTGGCTATTTGCATGGTAAAACAGTTTCTGAATCCTGATAACAATTGATATTGTTATTTTTCCTTCAGTACTAAAATTATGGTTTAGGATTGGTATTGTTATTCCTGTTCATAACTTATATGTTGTAACTGAAATAGTAGCAAATGCCTCTAAATCCTGTGTGCATGAAAATAAGCATTCTGAGACCAAAACTACTTTATATATGACTGTGTGGTTTGTCTCATTCCGTGTACATGTAAATATTAAACTATATGAACTACTTGTTCATTTGTAGAATTTGATACTTGTCTTATGATTTCACAGTGGCTAATGGCTATGATGAAGCTTCCACTCCTTCTGTAGATATATGGTTTAGGATTGGTATTGCTCTTTCAGTTCATAACTTATACTTCCTCCGTTCTTTAATTATTGAATTCCTATCGATGTGAATTTCCAAAATATCAACCTTTTATAATGTTTGCTAATACATAATTAAATATAATTACAGTCAAAGTTGTGTGTTGGCAAACATGAAAGTCAAACTGTTGCAAGAATTAAAGAACGGGGATAATATGTTGTAACTGAAATTGTAGCAGATGCCCCTAAATGACGTGTGAATGAAAATAAGCACTCTTTGCCATCTTCTTTATTGTTTAACTGTCTGGTTTGTCTCATTTTATGGTCCATGTAAATATTTAACGCCCAAACCTATAAGTAACACCAAACACAGAACAACATTGTCTGTTTATAGGCCATTTTTTGTCTGTGACCAATATGTAGTGTGTGTGTAAAATATATATTGTCTGAGAAGTACAATTAGATGAACCTCACAAACACATAAATAAATAAATAACCAAATTAATAAATAAATACATAATTTCATTTGTGATACCCGTACAACTAATGGAGAACCATAGATAGTGAACTTTGCCTTGCATTCTTTAAACTTCTTTGGTTGCCCAACCATTAAACCATTCAAATGGGTGACCAATAACTTGTAAGCCTCCTTATACCACGAGTAATCTTTGAATTTGTCGAAATCATTGACCAATCTTACGAAGTCGGGATTTATCTTTGTGGTCCTGTCTTTGGCTAGGAATACACACTGAACGAAGTACAAAGAGGCCAACTTCACAACATCAGTTGGATCACCTCGTCTGGAAGACCTCAATTTTTGAAGTATTTCCTTGAACTTCTCAAAGGTAGTATCCACTGAGCCACCAAGGTACATGTCTGCCACCGCCCAAGTTCTTTCTCTTCAACCTCAACTTCATCTTCAACTTCATTTTCCCCAGATTCATCTTCCTCTGGTGAGGATGGCATTTGGCCTGTAGAGGGTAATCCAGTGATGTGACAATAATCATCAAAGGTAAACTTTAAAAGCTTTCCTTGAACGCGAAACCAAAGTTCATCTTCTGGTTGTTCCTCCACAAGGCGTAAAAGCAGCATATGAACTATTTGGGCAGAAAATTGAATCTTTGGGACATCCACAAGATGGCCCCATGGTAGCTTGCGGAACAGTTGCAATTTATTGGCGGATAAGAATGATTATAGTAGATTGGATGCTTCATTATATTTTTCGCACACTGAATACTAAGCAGGGAAATGGTCTTTAAGCAGAACTTTTAACTTTAGAGCCCTGTCACAGACAGAATCACAAGTCACAGATAATACAAAACAATGTACAGACCTAAAAATATCCGCACAGAAAAAACAACAACACGCCCAAAAATATCTCCCAACTCATAGACAAATCCAAGGTTAACACAAAAATGCCCATTAACATCCGACACAAAAAACAACACGCACAAACACGCCTAAAATTAATGTCGCTACAAAATCCCTAGCCTTTATGAACACCTTAATCGACAATGGGGCCTTCATTAACAATCCAAATAACCTTCAAAATTTAATGTGGTTTAAAATTAATTAAAATGGTACTAACCTTTCCACCATTGTCGTGATTGGAGTTCACACCAAAGTTGTTTCTTCTTTGATGCAACAACTGCTCACATGTCTTCGTTCTCAACCCACTGCGATGTCCAAGCCCTACACAGGTCGTTTGACTACATGTCACCTTCTCCGATGGGCGGTTGGGATGCAAGGGATGGCTGTGATGTTTCATGGGGAAGGATTTCCGAAATACTGTGGGACAAATGAGAGTATTTGTGGGGATGCAGAATGAGTTGAGAGCGGAAGTTTGATTTTGGGAGAGGGACTACCGCACGTGGGGTTGAGGTGGGGAAAGGGGGGTAATTTTTTTCTTTTTCTTTGGGCCTTATATATGGTGTACTGATGGATATAAAAAGGTCTACAAAGAGTTATCATAGCACCATGACTTATAGCACGTAGTATGTCCTAAACTTGTATACGTAGTATATATACCTCGAAGTTTATATATATAAAAAGTTATCATAGCACCATGAATTATACTAAATGTGTGACATTTGTGAAAGAAAAAACATATGATCATTGTGTTATTATTATAACTTTTTATATAAAGTTCAAAATATTTATATTACATATGTAAATTTGGAGTGTGTATCCCATATCCTATATCCATTCAAATTTGGGGAGTTTGAATTGTTTTTCTCTATGTTGTAATAGAATCTAATAATTTTATTGGGATCGTATGGGAAAACTAATCACTGAAATCTTTTTACTAAAGAAACATAAGACGATCCACACGACTTACTTTGAAAATTATATTTATTATTTTATAGGTTTTTATTTTATAATAACAATAACTGGTGTCACTAAACAGATTTAATGTTGTAGTACAAACTAATTGTATTATGCATATGAAAAAATATGTACGAAAAGAAAATGGAATTACTAAAGTTACTTTGTATTAGGGAAAGAACTACTAGCTACAATACTCAATTAATTATACTTATCTTACTTTTTAAATACATGTTATACATTAAAATTGTGTTAATAAAATTTGGTTATCACATATTATTATGTATCGCACTGATTGATATGTACTTATGTAGTCTAGTAATAATAATAATAATAATAATAATAACAACAACAACAACAACAATAATAATAATAATAATAATAAGGCAAAATTCATAAGAACTAATCCTTACTTTTAGGGATTTTATAATAATAATTTGTATTGAGTGTTTAAAAAAATAATCTGAACTAGCAATAGTCAGTGGCGGACCTAGAAAATCGGAGTCACGAGGTCCCTACCATTTTATATCTGTAATCTCTAATTAATGCAAGTATAAAACTAATAAAAAAATTGATCCAATTCTTCATTTACTAATGACGAATCATTTGAATTAACATCTGAACTACTCCCATTATTCTAGGTTTATTTAAATTTGGGCGATGATTTGAATTCACCCCCAATTTATTAACGTAGATACTATTACTAGTTTGAATTATTTTTATTATTCTTGTGAATTTCGCATAAGAATAATAAGGAATTATTTGGGGGATAATGCATTTTGATTGTCACATGGAAGCATAACGGCCTATCTTAATATATTTAATGATGGAATCGTCTATCAATTAACTGTTCCCGCCTAGGATAATCCCCGCCACATCATCACGTTTGCCTGTACAACCAATTACTTATTCATGCATATTATGTAACACCCCGATTTTAGCGATCTACTTATATTAATCTTTTATTTTATTTAGTCGATTAAATAAGATTCTTCTATGACTAAAGTGATTTATTGTTTGGTCACGTGTTGTTCTGGGAGGTAACGTTGACCGGTAAGCTCGAATAATTTTAAGTGAAGAAATAAGTAATGTTTTAAAGCTTAATCAGTTTATTTTGAAATAGAGAATACTTTTAATGTTGGATTTTTTTAAGAATATTAGGAGCCCAAATCAATGTAGCCCAAATAAGTCTCTTTTATACTAAATCCCTAGAGAAGTTACGCCACTTTCTTCCATAAGAGCCGAGTACTACTCTATTTTCCTCCTCTCTGCAGCCGCGACCGTTTCTCCCATCTCCCTGATATCTTTGTTTTCCTTTTCCTTCCTCTGAGAAACTTTCCATTTAATCATAAAAGCTCTCATGCCGTTGTAGCAAAACTCTTGTCGGGTAAGTTCAAGTTCCAATCATTCGTATCTAGCAACTTTATGGATTAGTCAATTCCCTAATATAATCAGTTAGTTTAATTTTATTTATTTACTTTGAGGAGTGCTTTCATCCTTCGTTGGATCTCTAGGGGGGCAGAGCAAAAAAAACCAGTATAATAAACTAGTAGTTAAAAATATTTAGAAGCTCATTTTATATCCAGAAATTTTGTATCATATTTAGTTAGTAAGGTTTTTCTTAAAGTGCATATTTCACAGATATAGTTAGTAGTCATTCCAAATTTTAATTGAAGCTTGTACGCAGCAGTAGTATATTTTACATCCCATTAGTTTTTTAGCATATAATTTAACTTTAAATCTGTCCCAGAAGAAGTCAATCAGTTTAGGGACTCTTTTTTATTAAAAAAAGTTGATATCTAGCAAAGGCCGTTTAATTGAGTGGTTGGTCGGATATTTCAGAAAGACAACTTCGATTTTAGAGTATTGGCTTACAATAATACAGTTAAAGTTTTGGGTTATAGTAATAACGGGTTTTAATTGTAATGTTATACTACTTATCTAATTAAAGATTTCAAAGAAGAGTTTACCGGAAGACGTTATCAAGGTGCCATTCATATCTGAGTGATTTAAGTTCAGCTTTGACAGGTAAGTTCACTACCACCTGTACATGTTTGTTCAACCAAATGAAAGAAAGAAGTCTGGTTGATTTTTATTAGATGATTTTAGACTATTTGCTATTATGTGAGCTTAGTGAATTATTTGATGAGTTATTGTAATTGTTGTATTAAGTTATGTTTATTATCTGCCATAGTCAAGATTGTGTCAATACTTTATTTCAAGATTTTAATGATGTTTTTACCCAAACGTCACTACAAAAAGAACTAACATTTAAAGTGAAAGATCAGGTGATATGTACTCGGGAATAAGTTCCCTCAGATTATCAGTTTATCAGTTTCAGAGAGTCCGATATGTTTAGTGAGTCGCTCCCCTGAGCTGTCGGATTGGCGCCTTTGAGTACATATCACGGGCCCACAGTTAAAATTAGCCACAAAGAGTTTTACAGAAAGTCTATGAGATTCCCTTTCAGAAAGTTTTACAGAAAGTTGCTTTTGAGATCTCTTTCAGAAAGTTTTACAGAGGTATTTTAAGAAAGAAATTTTGAGATCTCTCCAGTAGTTTTGAGAAATTATTTTAGAAAATATTTTTTTAGAACCTCTCTTAGAATTTATTTTAATTGAGAAGCTATTTGTTAGTTGTTTGTTTAGTGCACGCTTATAGCCTAAATTTATCTATTGATAAATTAGCACAGACTTCTCAGATATTTTGTGAATTCATAGTGACTTACTAAGCGTAAAGCTTATCAGTTTTCTTTCTTCGCATTTACAGATACTAAGGGTAAGGCCAAGGCCTAGGAAGATGATGAGGGAATGGAACGCATGCCAAGATGAGTTAATGAGAACGACCTTGGCGACTTCTAGCTAGTTTTTATTTTACTCCAGTATTTCAGTTGTTAGAATAAAAGATTATTATTACTTTATTTTATTTGAGGATTGAAGTTTGAATAAATTCCTGGATCCAGGTGGTTATCACATTTGATGGTGATAACTAGATTTTATTGAGTTTTTATTTGGAGTTATATTTTAGTTATATTTGAGTTTTTATCAGGGTTATTTCTTAAACAAACAGCCATTATATTGCAGTTTTTTTTAGTTGTAAGTTTATGTAGCGTTTCCTTTAACCCTGAGAGGGGCGTTACATATTATCTTTAAAAAAATAAAACGTGAAAATCCTGTGAGAAACATGGCACTTTTCTGAAGCGGTTGCATCCTTACAGTTCTGGAAAAAACCCTCCACGTTCCAGCCCACTCACTATGAATAACTGCTTCATCAACCTATATAAATAACACTCACCTCAGACTCAAAACGACAGATATAAATTGATTCAAAAGTGTTGTAAAAGTGCTTTTCGATATAGGTTTATTGTTATGGAGTATCAATTTCCGTTTAAAATTAATAAGTTCATATTGCTTCAATTTGTTTCAGAGTTGCCGCTACATCAGGTGACCATGTTGTTCAACAAAATCTATGATCTCACCTCCTCAAAACCAAACTGGGCAAAGAGAGTGAGCCTCATCCACTTTAATGCTCTGCCAGGGTACAACAACAAGGGTATTAGAAATCGAATGGAATGAATTTTCCATGACGATGAGGTACAATTTGATACTATGCAGAATAATTAATATTTTGAACTTTACATGGCAATACAAGTACGTTTTTTAAACTCTAAGTAGTTCAAATCTTCTAAACATTTCGTCTGAAACTAATTCGTTAATTATTGATGTCATTTGAAGCATAAGATCCATGAGACATCCATATGGACCATACCCCCACCCCAGTCCACGAGAATTAAATGGGGAATACCAAATTTCATAGAGATTGTTCTTGAAGATGTGAGGTAAGTTTGTGTCTGGCTGAAGGGCTGTCAAAGATGATGATATTGCAAAAGGCATAAAAGAAGCAAAGAAAGCGTATGATTGAAGGTTGAAAAGTTGTGAAGCTGTGAAGTTTAACCCTTTAGGATATTTATCCAACTTCTATTTATAACTAAAGTACAGTGTTTTCTATACATCATTTTCCAAAATTGTTTTTTGCAACACTAAAGTTGTTTACCCTTATTTAAGTTTCTGTCTATTCCTATATTACGATTTCTCTAAATTGTGTTTTCCGTGTCATGTCTTATGTTGTATTTTCTGCTTCAAGAGGGCTGTAAACAGTGATTAATAGGTATAAATTTATTTTAGAATTTCATAAGTTTCATATGTATGAGTTTCTTAGTATTTACCCTTAATCTTTATTGATCATCCACTTAGTTGTTCAACTGCTATCTGAGGCAAAAAAGAACTCTGTATCTTGCAGGCAACATAATAGAACTCTTTCCATTGGAAAAGAAAAGAATGTGTGGGAAAGAAAAATCAATATTAACTATTCAGGGAATAGACCATTTACACAATTGAGTATATTTAACATAAATGAAAAACAAAACAATACCCTGTAATGGAAATTCCACAAGCACAAAGTCTATCGCAATATAACACGAAAAAACATCATATATGAACTTAGAAACAAACTTTAACGACAAGGCAGATGGACGGAATCCATATACAAGACACGTATCATTTTGCAAATGCAAAAAATTAGTGAAATTAAACACACAATCTTCACACAATCGATGCTAAAAACAAAAAATCAGAAAATTAGAGAGATGGTGAAGAATGGACATCGACAACACCTAAACTTCATATATTTGGTGCTGATAAAAAATCAAAGAGAGTAAGAAAGATCTACAAAAGAATTGAAAAAATTGGGAAAAGATATGGAAAAACTACGGACCTCTGGGTATTACACGAACAACCACCCGGCAACCGGTCGACCTCCGTTAGAAACGAAACGGAGAGAGATTCAATAGAGTTCATGCGTTTACGGCGGCAATGAATGGAATCGGAGACGGAGAAGTTGGGAGGTAATTAGAAAAGTATGGAGAGACCTCAGTCGGTTTGGATGGCGAGGTTGAACCGAGGGAGAAGTGGGAGGCGGAAAATGTTCAGAGACGGTGAGAAGGGTATTGTAAGGTCTGAGCTCACAGGCCAAAAGAACTTTTTGGAGCAGGGAGTGAGCTACGCAACATAATATGGGCCAAAGATAATACGTTGTATGAGGCATATTTACTTCAAAATTTAAATACTCTGTATTATTATACTGAGAAAAAAAACTATATCTACAAAATGGAATCCTAAAATAAAACTATTGTAGTAAAAGCCATTGTATTTAATTAAATATTAGAATTCAGTGTGTAACTAACAGTGAAGTGTTTTAAAAAAAAACTAACAATGAATTGTTCATTTCACCGAACAGTAAAATTTTATTTTCAAGTGAAAATTTGTAAATATTTTAAATGGGGCGTCTCAAATGGTGTATTCTGTTTTTATGAATTTTGAGACACTAATTAAAAAGTATCCATTCTTATAATATTTAAACACACACACAATTTTAAATTATATGAAATAATTAAAAATACACTTTTATTTTGTTAATAATATCTTTATAAAAGTTAAGCCAATAATCTATATTTAATGTATAAAAAATTATACCTGAAAGATACACGTACACTTTTTAAATTTGAAAATTCTTCGAAGATACACGTACACTTTTTAAATTTGAATATAATTAAAAGGCATTGTTCTTAGTAGTAATGTTTTTATAAAGTTTTTTTTGACACCAAATATTTTTATAAAGTTTAATTAACTCTATATTTAATGTTCGGAAAATAGTACTTGAAACAATCTATACGAAGTATATATGTGTTGAAAGGAAAGCATAGAAGATATTCATCCCATTGATGGTAAACTCACAAATCACAAAAGATATTCTAAACGATATTCTAAACGCTACTATATCATGCGTAATTTGACACCACATTCTATTTCTTCTCTTGAACTAAGTCAGATTTTACGATGCCTTCATTTTAAGTGCCTACTTCTATTGTACTCCTATCATCAGTTTTCCAGTTTTCTAAGTCATCGTACGGGTACCATACATTGAATCATAAAAAACATTTTTCTTTCAATGAAAAAAAAACGCTAAATATGAATATATTATTGTCCCGTGCATCGCACGGGTACGATACTAGTTTTTATTAATGTAGTATGATTGATATAATTGCTTTATTTCCAAACACTTTATATATATAATGGCTTCAGCACTAAGGAAGCATAACGGCCTATTAGCTCAGCTGGTTAGAGCGTCGTGCTAATAACGCGAAGGTCGCAGGTTCGAGACCTGCATGGGCCATTTCGTTTTGCTACTTTTTTAAACTGTTAGATCGTTCGCAAGCTGTCGCTAATTATTACTAAGCAAATTGGAGAGGAGTTCAATTCCCCCACTCTAGATTTCCTCTTTCTGCAAAGACTACAAAAATGTCATTCGCCGTTAAACTTATCTTTTTTATTGTTCTCTACCGCGCCGTTCTATTTCCAGTGAACGCCGATCCAAGCAGGAGACTTCTGGGGATCCGCAGGAGCGTCCACCGTAACCCGCTGCCCGACTGCGGCGACATCGCGTCCAGATCTGAGTGCCTTCAAAGCCAGAAATGCCAGTGGTGCCGGAGTGACGCCATTGACGATTCCTGCTTCTCCATATCCGAAGCTTCCCGCTTGCCCTCGAACCTCTTCCATTGCTATTGACTGACCTTCCTATTATTATTTGCACTTGCCTCAATATGTCCGGGTAATTTTTAATATTGTTTCTTGGCTGCATCGGATTTCATTAATTTTCAGTTTTTAGCTTTTCTAAATTAAAATTAAAGAAATTATATACATGCAAAATCTATCCCATTGTTACTGATTGATTGAGATGCAGGTGAGTATGCATATGCATATAAGTAGAAGTTTATATTGCCTTGCTTTAGATTAATCCATAGTTGATCATGTAAATTGATTTCATGACCTATTTACAGCTGGTGGGAAAGATTATATTCGCTGATTTCCTAGAAATCATACTTATCCAATCCATGACCGACTTCTTTGTTGTGTAACAAAAAAATAAAGTCAACGGGGTAAACCGTTGCCCAGATAATCAAAGATAAAAATAACGTTGTCTAGAACCCAAAGGCTAAAACAAATTTTATTCTACTAATAATAGGCTCAAACTAAATTATACCGTTGGCAAGGGGTATAAATAGCTTCTAAGAGAAACCCTAATCAAGTCCAAATTAATTAAATCCTAATTAAGCCCATACTAACTCTACTAAGTACTCTACTAATAATAGGCTCAAACTAAAACATAACATTAATTTAATAATAATAAATAAACTCTAATGACAGCCCTAACCCGGCCCACGGAAGTGGGGCCAAGCTCTGTCCCGCCCCATGCTCTTCCCGCTCTCTATCATTCTCATTATCTAATTTTCTATTCTCTCAATCCCCAGAGTGTATAAAGTCCCTTAGGGTCCAGTGTGAGTGTATGACCATCGGATGGTTTAATTTGGGTTGACTTCACTATTATGAAAGCATTTTTTTGACCAAAAACTGGGGATTTGACAAAATGGATTCATCTTGAAGAGCCGTAATGAACTTTCTAAAACCTTATTTATGAGAACCTTCAAACTGCATCTACTGGTATCCCACCCTTATTATAAGGCTCGTGTATCAAAATTTCAGTATACCCAAGTTTAAGTGCAGTAAGTTCGTACTCGTATGAATCAAATCAAAATTGCAAGTGCGGTATTCATATACGGAGTATATCAAAATTTTGTATACTAAATCTCTTTTTAATGTAAACTACCTAACTATATTAATTCAAGGAGTCATTCACCACATGATTACATATACAACCCCGAATAGAATTATCAGATATTTTACCATTCATATGTGAAATGGCCGCTTGGGTTGCACAATTTGCGAATCGTCTACAGTGTTTGACTACAACACTAGTTTCTCCCCTACCTTCGAAAAAGACGAATAAGCAATCCCAACTTACGAGGACTAGATCTTAAACACATGGTGATGTTTGAAGATTTGTTAATGGTGCAAGAGTTTTAGGAAGGAAATAGTTAATTTAGTTACTACCTCTTGGGGTTAGACATTATTACTTGTTCACTTCTGTTTGCTTTTGTTTTCTCTTTTCCTTAATTTGTGTTTTGATGTACTTTTTATTGTTTTTTCTTAATAAAATTCCTATTTCACACAAAAAAAATTGTTCTAAAAAGATATATTTGGTAATTCCATCTTTTCGTTTATGAAAAGACTTTTTTGTTTGGTGCTATAACTTTAAAAATTAAATATCCTTTCTAGACATCAATATATATATGTTCTTCCACCTTTTGTGTTTGGTTTGGAAAAGTACACAAATGTATTTGTTCTATGATGTACAATTGAGGTTCATATTTATGTGTTCTCTAAACAAACTTGTAGGGTACAAAAACACAAAAGCTATTAGGAATTAGCGGCAAAGACACACCACGATCATGCCACATACAACAAAGAACAAACACATAAATAAAAAATTAGTAGTTCAATATAGTTGTATTATTGGAGTAGGGAACAAAAGTGTGTGAAGTTTTAAAATTAAGTTGAGCAATAAATATAACCTAACATCTTAAATAAGAAACTCTTAATAAATATAATACCACACATTAATTTTCTATTACTAGAAAATAAAGGAATAACAATGATATTAGGATTAATGAACAATTTTCAATAAATAAAACTTCATATTTTTATTAGTTTGGATTATTCGGTTCAATTTGACTTTGAAAGCTTAAAACAAAAAATGATCTGAACAATTACGGTTCAATTGGTTTTATTGCATTTCGTTTTGCTTTTTTGTAGTTTGATTTATTTTGATTGCAGTTCCACTTTTTGAATTTTCGATTTCATGATCCCCTAGCCAAAGGATTTTAAAAATCAAACAAAACACACAGAAAATTTGAAGGAACACTGTAGACTTGTAGTAGAGATTTCCTTGGTGTAAGAAAATGAATTTTTAACATCAAAATCAACTTGGTGCAATGAATATAGGGGTTTTCTTAGAATATTATTAAAATAAACTTGTGGATAAAAAACTTACTAAAGTTACTATGTGTATATTTCCATGTCCATTATATGTAAAATTGAACATGATCAATGGTGGATCTAGCATTTGCATTCAGGCGGGGCCAAAATTTAATTAAATAAGATATACTGCAAAAAATGTCAAAATGGCAAAATATAGTTAAATAATATCACAGAAATGTCAAAGAAAAAAATAAATATTACCGAACCGACAATTTAATTGTCTTACTGAAATATTCAGTACCAATTTTCAAGTCAATTTCTCCAAAACCAAATTTCTTTCGACTCTATAGTCTATTCTCTATGTAAAAAATAAACTAATTAAATTTCACTCACCAAGCACAATGTATTGAACTTATTTCCATCATTTGCAATGGAGCCAAAGATTCATTATTTTTTGGCTTAAGATTATGATAGAATAAAGCAAAATGGCTCACTAAACTGTCTGCGCTTCTTTGTTATGGAGCAGCATTCAGTCCATGCAATCTTGGATGCGATTTTCACTATGGGTCATCCAGAAACTGTCTCTCTGTGCTTTAGTACAGGGGTAAGACTGCGTACATCCGACCCCCCTTTACCCCACCGTAGGTGGGAGCCTTTGCGGCATTGGGTAAATGAAAATGAAAATGATTCAAAAGTCCAATGAATTGAACTAATTAATTTTTCAAATTAATATTCAAAAGCTCAATGAATTGAACTAATTAGTTTTTCAAACCAATACTCAAAAGCCCAATAAATTGAACTAATTAAGTTTTCAGGCCAATATCCAAAAGCCTAATGAATTGACCTAGTTAATTTTCAGACTAATATTCAAAAGAAATAATTACATAAATATGACCAAAATAAATATGATTTACAAAAATATGACTAATGACTAGAGTAGTAATGAAATCATAGTAATTCATATTCTAGTTTTGAGCTTAAGTTACCACAACATCACATTGTAGTAATGAATAGTCATATTTATGTAAATACGGAGTATGTTTTATTTTAGTAATATTCTTGTAAAAAACCCTATTCAAAATTCCAATGATTTGAAGTAATTCA